CCCCCAACCAAACGGTCTCTCGGTATAAAGTAGATGTGGCAATCTGGACCCGACGCAAAATGAATGACTTGACCTGCAACCTAAAAATTGCCTCGAAAATTACTTGAATCCGAACTAACCCAACCCGACCAGCATCTGACCCGAAGTAGAGTTGACTAGACCCAAAATTGACCCAATACCCAAAGTTGACCCTACCCGAAGTGAACCAATCCGATTTTAACCTGAACTTGAACAGACCCGAGCTCAACCTTAAGTATTGATCCGAAACTCAAATTGACCCAACCTGGCCCATACCCAATAAGAATATAAATCAACCCGACCCAAACGACCCGTTTACCAAGTTTACTCAAATGACCCAAACGACCCGTTTACCAAGTTTACCCAAATGACCCAAACGACCCATTTACCAAGTTTACTGTAAAATGGTAATGTAGTCATAAGGGATATGTATAAAAAAAAACTAAGAAATAAAATATGAAAGATAAATTAACATTAATTACACCGACTGACGAGTAATTTAATCATAAATTTTCAACTTAATTTCATTTTAAAAAACATATTTAATACTTATATTTATCATTGTTTCAAAAAAAAAAAATTACTTATATTTATCATTACCCTAAATTTAAAGATCCGACATAAAAAAATAGTCATAAATAAGTAGATATCGGACATGTGATCCAAAATCTTTGCAAAGTAGAGCCCAAATTTATATGGAATTGGACCCATAGTACCAAACTAGCATAATTGAAGCAAAAGTGGAGCCCAATTACAAAAAAAGTTGGTACTAGCATAATAGTGGGCCCACTAGCATGAAGGAAGGAAAGTAGGGAAGGACAACAAAAAAAAAAAAAAAAAGGATTTTAGAAGTAAATTTGCTTAGTCATAGACAGCAAGGATGAGATCAAGGAGTCAGATCACGCGCCGAATCCATGCTTTTGACTTTTACACTTCTAACATGGGTCCCACTACATGTTCCCTCTCTGTCACCTTCAGCGCGTGTGAGTTATTATCCAGTACATACAGTTGCATGGAGATCTACACTTTGGAGTATCTTTATGACGTGGCATGTTTTCATTTGTTGGTATTTGAGGAGATATACGGTGTATCTTGGAATAGTTTGACTGTCTAACACTAAACCCTCTCTTGCTTATTTTGCGCTCGTACTCCTTTCCTATGTCCTTCCGAAGGTTATTTTAACGGCAGAAGCTAACGAACGTCTCTTAAACGTTGGATAAACTAGTTAAAAGAATTTATCAACATTGGCCCGGTCCGATCTGGCCCGAAAATAGAGTAGGTTTGGGCAAGCATAAAAACACATTTTTAGTTAAAAGCCCGAACCCGGCCCGAAAAGCCCATTTTGACCCGACAAGCCCGCTACAATTTTACGGGTTTGGGCATGAGAAATTGTGTTAAGGCCCGGCCCGATTTTTTATCACCTCTATTAAAATTAGAAAGATTAACTTAAAATGAACTTTAATTACAATCGATGTGTAATTTTATCATGCTTTCCCAAACTAATACCATTTTAGACAATATTTTAAATGTTTATTTAACGTCTCGGGGGCATTCGTTAGCAAGATCTTATTTTAATTTATGTGTATGTAATATAGTATGTATATTTCAGTGTATAATATAATGTTCAAGTACAATTATTTATATGCCTTTACTTTTGTTTAGTGTTGTTTAATCAATCTTATTAAGGAATAATATTCGGATCTAATGCATTGATGAGAGAAGAGTGTGGTGGTGGTTTGGGAGTTGTATTATCATATTTTTGGGTCAAGTGTGGAATACATTCGTGCGGTGCATCATAAAAGGTAAGCTATGAAATAAATTTAAAGCTTATGTTATAAATCTTGTTACTCCGTAACAAGATCAAACTTAATGTGATTGAGTTATCGTCCTCAATTGAATGAGAGTGACTAGAAACGTATTTATAGTTCTTTGAATACACAAAAGGAAATTAACAAGCTCCCTAGTCATGAAATTTCCTCAACAAGGTATTAAGGTGGCTCTAAAACTTGCATTTATAGTCCATTGTAAAATGTACGGCGTAGCAATCAATGCTATGGATCGGAATGAGTTTTCTTATTCTCCACAATGATGATTTGCTTTGATACTTGCTTGCTTATGGTTAGCTCTTTAATCAACTAAATACGGAATAATTAGGTTATGTGCTTGTATGATGTATCTAGGATCAATTCTATCGACGAGTATTTACAAGTATATATGAGAAACAGATAAAACGATATTACACTTCCTTTAAATATGCTTTTTTTGGGTAATGAAAATAACATTAGAAACTCCTCCTCGCGAGGGAAATTCCCTAATGTACCTTTAAACATGCAATTGCTATAGAGAGTTGCTTCATAAAACAGGGGTATAGATTGACCATAAAAAAGTTCAAATTTCTAAGGAAACTCTTACTCACCGACGGAAATACAACTTCCTCATTGGAGATAATTATAATTGAATCTTTATATATGAATCTTACCTAGCTCTTATGCTAATGTCAATCAAACAACACCTTAAATTGATCTTTTACTTGTATTTCTACGATTTTATACATTCCCATGTATATAGTTATAAGCGGACAACCAATCCACTATATATACAAAACTCTACTATCTCTATCAACTTCATATGTTAGTTGTCTCCCTTATAAAGTTTGACGAGGGTTAAATGGTTAATTGCTAGTACATATGCCATGGATTAGGGGTGAGCAGAAATTAAAGGTACCCTGATCTCTAATCAGAACCTCCCGAGTAATAAAAATGGGAAGTTGTTGCAACAGGTTCCGGTTTCGGGTAATAAATTTTGGACCTGGAACCTACATTGTACCCTGTTAATATAGGTTTCCTATATGGTATATGAAATTGAAACCTACAATTTAAGCCTAATTAAGTATAAAAGTTGTGTCACTTAACTATCTCCCTCCTCTTATTCATCTTACTCTCAAAGGTTTAATTAATGGTATTAATATAAGTATTTGTAATAATTTTGTATTAAATATTTTAGACAATGAAGTAAACATTAAGCTTACTTTGAAAGATAGGGTACCATGTTGCGGAACCGGAACCTAAACCTGTAAGTTCCGGTTCCCAATTTTTAGGAACATGTTGAACAGGTTCCGATTACGATTCCTATTTTTAGAAACCTATTACAATAGGCTCCGGTGATTTTTACAGTGTACCCTGCTACACTCACCCCACCATAGATGAAGGATAAATATATTAAACCTATCAATTCAATTTACACATTGTATAAGATTGTCGCAAGATGGCAAAAACTTAGTACAAGAACATGTCAACCCATTTTAGGCAACATTTAGGCTATATTGAGTTCACATGCATTACGCAAGGACCTTATTACTTACTTCGTATTAATTATTTTTTTATAATTTAAAAAAAAAAAAAATTAATAAGAAAAATTAAGTTCAATCTACCTTATCTTTTTATAAACGCTTTTTCATACTAAACATATTTAATCCGTGCTGAAAAAAACTTGTGAAAATTACATAGATATAGCCTATTTAATATGCTATCTCTTATGAATTAACTTACTTATAAGTTCAAACCTTAGTTAAACCAAACAATCAAATCATATCATAAAATATTAGTTCGGATCAAATTAGAAAAACACAAGTTCAAATTAAATCAAACAATTAAGGGTTTGTTTGGCATCGTTTTTTTGTTTTATGTTTTTCTCAAAACAAAAAACCAAAAACAGGAAACAAGAAAAATGTGTTTCCATTTTTCGCTTGTCAGTTTTCAAAATTATCATGGTTTTAATAAATTTAACTATTTTTTGATTCATTATATGACATGCACCATATGATTTTGAAAAACAAGAAACCAAAGAACAGAAAACCACAATGATGCCAAACGAACCCTAAGCAAACATAAAATGAACTACATATAGCCTTAGAAGGCTATCCTTATTCCTTGTACAACATAGACTGCCATACCTAAAATACCGCTACTCTGATTTTAGGCACGTTGTAAATTTCATCGAGGTTGACTTGGAAATATTTGCCCTTTGGGCCAATTGGACCTTGTAGTAAACACAAAATTTCCATTTTTTGTTAGTGTTAGTAGCTATTATTAGCTATATCCCTTTGTTAAACTCAAAGTAGAAAAAACAAGTGTTCCACACATTGAAAGAATATGAAACTTTACTCTTGTTTATGATTTTATGATGTCAATTTCCTTGTACTTTTTGATCAAAGGAACTAACGGTATGCCCCTAGTACGCACACAAGAGTTTTTATATCTTGCTGTTGTATGTTCTTGACCATTGCGAAAATTACTTTATGTTGTAATCTATATTTGCTTTGTATGTTATACCACTGACTGAGTAACCTTAAAATGTTGCATGTTCTTGACTGTTGCGAAAATTACTTTATGTTATAATCTATATTTGCTTCCATAATTAGTCCAGACGTTTTCTCTTGATTGTCTAGTTTTTTTATTTTTTTATTTTTTTTATTTTTTTTTTTAAAAAAAAAATCTTATCATGGTCATATATGTTGTTATTAGTCGATTACATTGATATAATTAAAAACTAAGCCTCTCCCTTTAATCAGCACATACAAGATTTCCTCTTCTCAGCTTCACAAAATGTTAAATTTGACAATGAGTGTTTTTTTAGGCAATGATAAAATGATTAGACAAGATTTGTGGGAAAGGATGACGCCTTGGTCAGACCTCAATTCTCATAGTTCTACTTCAACCCTCACAGTTTTAGATCCAGTATTTACCATATGAGTCAATACTTTGTAGATACCCATTTCGGGAATATTAAATTGTTTATGTGTTTGGTCTATACAAAATTGGTACAGTATAATAGTTTTATACCCACACATAAATTATCACCCTTTCCTTGTCAACCACAAATAAACGTGATAGCAAGTTGGCAACAAACCAAAGTCGCACGCTCTTTCTTCCCCGACAATCATACGACGCCGTACTACCTTAATTTCACTCTAATACGTCGTCGTTTCATCATTTTCAAGTAGGTCACCTGCTTCCTTTTATCCTCCTATAAATCTTTCTTTTCCTCCTCAGTCTCTCTTTCGCCCTTTCTTCTTCCATTTCATCATTTTCTCTCTCCTCGGAGATTTTTCCAGGTATTTTTTTCTTCAATTTCCCCAATTTAATTCCTCAATTTTCATATCTAATTTTAGCTCAGATCTAGCTCATCTATAATTAACCATAAAAAACCCTATTTTTATAATTTCGAAATTTTGTTAGATCTAACTGGAATTTTTCTAAATTAACCAGTGATTATTCTGGGTTAGATCTAGCTGGAATTTTCAAAATTAACCAATGAAAAATCTGGAATTAATTCTATCTATGAGCTGGGTTGATGATCTTTAAGACTAATTTGCTGAATTGAATTTCTTTTTTTCAGGCGTTAATTTTTGTCATATAATAATTCCAAAAAAAAAAAGAAAAAAAAATGAATCGATGGGAGCTTCAACAGAACGCCATGGTGGTGGGTTGTGAAGAATTCCGGGGCCCAAGTGGAGTATCGTTGTCGGATCGTAAAGGTCCTGTTCTTGTTTGCCCGAAACCCAGGCGAATCGAGTTTTTAGCAACGAATCTTACCATGTCTTTGAGATGGCAGAGAAGGTAATTATTAATTTTACTCTTAATTTTGATTTGTTAGTTGATTTTGATTTTTAGGTTTTTTTTTTTTGGATTTTTTTGCTGAATTTTGGTTGGTTTGATTTTGATTATAGCCAACAAAACGATGTTTGTGATTCAAAAGCTGGTGCTGATCTTCTTGACATGATTCTTCGCAAGGTAAATTCATGTTTAATTTTCATTTTATTGATTTTTTATAATTAAATACGGAATAGTTTCTAATTTTGGTGCTGTATATGGTTTGATTTATCTTCTGTGATGAGATTTACATAGTTTTGTATGAAGAAATGGTTGATTTTAGCTGATTATGTTAAATCTTAAAGGTTGATCTGTTTAAGTGATTGGAAAGTTGTGTATTTGAGACTATTGTTTAATTTTTTCTTTGATTTTGATGAAATATGACCCTGTTTGTGTGTGTTTTAATGGATGGTTTTGATTCAAAGATTTATTGTTTGATTGTATATTTGTATGGTTAAAATATAGCCTTTATGCCTAATTACATGTGTGGAACATCGTAGCCGGCCTCGGTTTTTCTAGATGTGGTTGTGGTAAAGATCAAGTGTTCGATTTTTGGTTTTAGATGATTATATCATACGTCGAATATGTTATGTTGTAGGTTTTTTTGGATGTGGTGGTTGTAAAGATCTGGTGTTCGATTTTGTGGTTTTAGATGATTATTTAAGTAGATTCAACTATTGTGTAAAGATCTTGTGTTTAAGTTGTATTTAAACAAGATGTTGCTTATTGAGTATGTTTGATGAGTTTAATTATACTCTTGTTTCCGAAAGGAAATCAGTTGTTTACGACTGATAACTTCTTCGTGTGTTTTGTCGGTTTTTCAAAGAACAGAATTTGCTAATCTGCTTGTGTTGTTGTTCCTGCAGGAAAGTCATGGCGACGGAAGATCTTCAGCTAGAGAGATTGCATCATCACCCCCATTTTTTTGTGGATCACCACCTAGTAGAGTTTCTAACCCAATAGTTCAGGATGCGCAGTTTGGGGATGAAAATTTATCCCCTTTGTCAACTTTACAACTCGCGTCTCCTTCCACATCCGCATCATCTTCACCATCACCATCGTCTATGAAGTCTGGTGGTGTGAGGATGAAGTTTGGTCTCAAATCCCCCACTGTTAGAGTAGAAGGTTTTGATTGCCTCAACAGGGATCGCCAGAATTCAGGCATCACTGCTGTGGCGTAAAGAAAGGAAAATTCAATTGGTTAACTGTATATATACAAATGATCGAAGTGAAGCTGCCATTGCATAAGCAACTGCATCAAACTTCTTGTCAAGGAATTCCGGATTTTGACGAAAAAGATATGTTTTTGGTTTTGTAGAAAAAATTGCTGGAGAGAAAATTGTCTTGCCATTGTATATAGGATGATGTTCTACTAGAAAGAACACCAAGGGAGACAACCCAGAGGTGTGGTCTCTTTTCTTTTTGTACTATATGAGAGGAAGAAGATTGTAAGAGAAATTTGTATAGAGAGCCATTGAGAGTGGTCTGACCTTGTAACTTATGGTGTAAATATACGCTCATTTGCTACTATTATATCGACTCCATTGTTCTTTAACTCGTGCCTCAATTCCCAAAGATCCTCGAGCAATCCCATGGATTAGGTGCAATTTCCACAATCAGGGTCTTTATGATGCATGTTGAGAAGATTCGATTCAACTCAAACTTGCTAACCCAAGTTTGAGCTCGAATGCTAACGATCTGTGTTGAGAAGGCTCGATTCAACTCAAACTTGCAAGCCCATTTTTGAGCTCGAATGCACCTTCCATTGACTAGTATTATCAAAAGCTCGTGTTTTGAATAGATTTGACTAATACGTCGATAGCTATACAAACTATATTCAATTAAAATTTTCGAGGAGTATATCGATTAGTCCAAATCTCGGTATGTATTTAGTCTTCCGTAATTGTTGATAATCCAGGACTTTAATTTAATAGACTTGGTAAGAAGACAACAAAGTGAAGAAATGGACATATATGGAGGCTGCTTTGAAGAATTCAACCACATACTTATTTTAAGAATCAAGTTAAGATCAAGTCTTTTGGCTAAGTGCTAAAAACTTTGGCATTGGTATTATGTCAATATCATGATTTAATGGGTTAAATAATACGTCAATACCATACTTTATCACTCTTATTTTCTTCGTGTTTGTTTTTTATTCGTAGTTTTTGGGTGATGAGTTTTTGTTGCTTAGTCAAAATATAGATTAATTATAAATTAATCATATAGTACGACGACAATTAAGTAACAGCTAAGATGTTAGGTAGTAATTTGCAAGATTAATGCTTTGCATGTTCTTATAAGATTTGAACCTTACTTTTTCATAATTGTTGTTGGTTAGAAAAAGACATTCTTTACTTTTTTAATAATTTGATTGAAATAGTTATACTTTAACTCCTTTTCTTTTGACAATTTCGAATTCATAGTAGGATTATTATTATTAATATTATATCATTTATAGGGAACAAGCTTATTAAAAATCTTTTTGCAAGATTTTTAGGTCTCTTGCTCTGTTATTAAGTTCTCTAGATGTACTGCATTATTTTTATCAGAGTACTCATTACATATTATTACTATAATAAATTAGATTAGGCCCAAAAAAAAAATCAAATTGGGCTACAAAATATTTAAAAAGAATTCTCTTAAATAAAGTAAAGAAAAAAAAAAAACTCTTTTTCATCCTCAAATAATCTTCTTGCTAAATTTAGACATACAGTAACAATTTAACGAAGGCAAATTTGTTAGAAAAAAACTTTTAAAAGCACCATTTTGCGAAAAAAAACCTTTTAAAAGCTTTTTGGTTAAAAAAAAAAACCATCATATTCATTTTTTTTTGCGAAAGGAAACCCATATCCCTAATTATCCTCTAACTAACTTAATTCAACTCTAATTTTTTCTTATTTCTTCTAAGTAACCTCTAACCCACCAAATTATTAAAAGGTTTTCACGTTGATGAAATAGATCTCAAACTCATCAGCACCATCAGAATTAGTAACATGTAATGACAAAAATAAACTAAAGGAAACCTCAACAGTCAACACAAGAGTAATCAATGAGAATTAGCAGAAACATCAACAGCTTTAGGGCCTAAATTGTTTATGTAGTCATCACATTTCAAGTTTGTGATACCTTTATGATTAGTTGACAACCAAATCAAACTAAAAAAAAATCCTCCAATCTACCTTATAACTATCCTATAAAAGAGTGAACATTCAACATAAAAAACGACGAGATTAAAAAATTCACTAATGGTCACAAAATGATTATGCAAGATGTTGGGCCATTGTAAGAATCTTGAGATGCTTTTTCTTCCTAAGCTCATGTGGGACAGGGCCAAACACTCGGGTCCCAACAGGCTCACCTTGCTTATTAAGAATCACCACAGCGTTGTCATCGAATTTGACCTCACTTCCATCACAGCGACCTCGCTGCATGGCAGCTCGCACAACAACAGCCCGTACAACATCTCCTTTCTTCACCTTCCCCCCAGGACGAGCTTCTTTCACTGAAGCTACTATAGTATCTCCCAATCTTGCTCCTTTCCTTCCCTTTAGAGCTTGTATGCACATTACCTGTTTAGCTCCAGAGTTATCAACAACTGTAAGCTTTGTCCTCATCTGAATGAAAGTCCTTAGCTGCTGCAACACCTGAAGACGTTCATATAATGTGCCAATTATATTTTCCACTTCCTCATTGAGCAACAATTCAGCATTATTTGGATGTTTGGGTTTTGTGGTGAATAGCATATGAAATCTGCAAGGAAGGTAAAGTAAAGCAGAGAGGGTAGCATACCTGGGGATGGGGGTGGTTGCTTGTGTTCTCACACGTAGATCTCAGTAAACTAGAACCACTACCATTGGTTAGACCACCCAGCAATGATCGCCCCCCTACAACACATATTGCAAGAAACAAACCAAGTCAACCTCAGAACAAGAATTAGAACATATAAGATCTTCCATTTTAAGTACAACCGCAAAAATTTAGAATTGAATTAGCTTCTGTTAGCACTTCCAGGGAGTCAGGGACCGATAGGCTAGCAAAGTGAGTGTGGGTACTCTGGGTAGGCCACAAATTCATTTTTTTTTTACTGCAAATGAATCAGAAACTCGTATAGTTGCGGCTTTAAATGGGATGGTCAATACTCAATACACACAAACTAGCACAACCACTTTCCTGGTTAACGTAAAGAGTCTTACTCTGAACACAGGTAAACCAACAATAATGTCCCCCTCTCCCTCCCCTCCCCCCATAAAGTAGCCAGTGAAAAGTCACTGTCCAAGAAACTAGCAGTCTAGCACACTACAAGTACTTTTTTTGAGAAGTAATAACTAATTTGGAAGAGCTTCCAAGTCCTCGTTTGATTGTAATAATGATAAACACAGCTGAATAACAAATAGTCACAGAATCACAGCACATACCACCTTAGTTTGAATAAGTGAAAGGTGCACTGAGCATCAAGTCCTCAACTCCGAGGTGCAAAGTGAGAGACAGAGGTACACAGACCATCGTTAGGAAGCACAAAGTTCAACAAGAAGGTTCATAAATTCTTTGGATATTTTAGCTACTAAGAAAAATATTGAAGGTTCCATTGACAAATTTACTTGAATTTTAACATTACCATGAGGCATAGAGGTTAATACCTTCAGAATAAAAATTGCAAAGGTTCCCCGAACATTTTAGAAGTCAAAACTAAGTGTGCTATCTAAAGTTTTATAGGCACGTACAAGAAAGAATACCACTTATGGGATTAAGGCTTTGATTGGTTGATTGAGCTGGTACAAGAAAGCATCCCATAAGATCAAAACAAAACCTTTTTTTGCTAAGAAAACATCCACTATGAATTTGGTAGTTTAGCCTGATTCACAAGGGTGACAAGGGCAAGACATCCTATGAATAGATTTGAAAATAGTCTGTGCACACAATATGTATAAAAATACTTATCTACTTTATGGATTCTAAGCAACAATAATAATTTCTAGATGGAGCAAATATAGTGCCTATAATTTCTAGACACATGATCAAGTACAATTATAATGTTTTGATATATCATAAGCATAATACTCTTACTCCCTTGATCCAAGCACAAGAGTATGTACTTTGTACACTGCACTATTATATGTTTCTCCCCAGAGTAACTTAACTACTCCCCTTGTTTATATTTCATTTTTTCTTTTCCATGTTAGGGGGAGGGGAATTGGTGATGACATGTTAGAAATTTTTTGCAAAGGGTCCAGTACGACAGCATAAATAAAGGAAAAATCTAAGATCAAATGATCAGTCCAATAAGAAGAACGAAAGATAATCAGAATCTAAAATGCTGATCATGGTTTTTCACTACTTATTTTGTTAATCATTTAAAAAGCACTTGATAGACAAATAAATATGGAAATCAAAATATAAAGTAATATGAAAAATATTATGAGCATATACCACGAGATAACTTCAAAGCCAGAGAAGATGACATCTTTTACTTTGATATGCCTGTCCAATGACGAGAAACAAAGACACAGATATGAGAAAATGCATATAATGCCTAAGGTAATCTGCATAAGTAGAAATGTGATGAAAATAAAGACAGTCTAATGAGTACAAAAAAGTCAGTAGCCAAGAAGAAAGGGGCAGGGGGCAATCCTCTCCCTCAGTGGCGATTCCAGGATTTGCTCGTTATGGGTTCGGACTCTCCAAACAAATTCAGGGATATCAAATATCTCAATTCAAAATAAAATTTGAGTGTGCACAATACATGTCAATTACAACAAGTTTGAAAGATTTATGTTTTTGGATTTCAACAAGCATCATATATAGAAAGTTGGCTAAGATCGTTAGCTTCTCGAAACCTATCATCCCTTCGCATTTCTTTAACAAAGTAGTCTAGCTCAAATCGAAGCCTTACCAAATCATTACTTGAGAACTGAATTGGATAATATTCAGCAAGTCTAAGCAACTTTTGTGTATTAAAGAAGCAAAGTAATTAACCGGAATAAACAAGTATCACATGGCCTACCTATGCCTAGCTCTTGGTTTAATCCTTGCCCACTCTAAAGTTCACCTAAATTTAATGCTTCTGCCACTTTTTGAGCTTGAATATCTCGTAGCCATTCTTTTCTCTTCGTAGAAATTCCAATAATTCAACAAAAACCCAAGTTCTTCAAATACCCAAATACAATCATCATTATCTCATGTTCAATTAACAATTAACAATTTAACATTCTACATTTTACATTACATTCACAGAATCACATATTCACATACAAATGTATGAAATCACAATTTCAATTAACAATTTACAAAAAAAAATAGATTAATTAAAAACTAAACCTGAAGACTGAAGTTTTGATTTGTCGAAGAGAGAGAACTCGGAGAAGGCTGAAGGCAAGCAGGCGAACGCCGGTCGGCCGTCGGCGGAGTGCGGCCAACGTCGATCTGAAAGCGGCGTCGGTCTTTGAATGAGAGTGAGGGGAGAGGAAGTCAGGGAGAAGTTAGGGTTCTTCGATGTTTTCTTTCTGTAAAATTAAAAAGGTGTTGGGTATCGAAACCCTGACCTTTGTAAGACATAAAACCCTTTACGATTTTGCCCCTCCTTTGTACTTTCAGAATCTATGACTACTAATTCAAGGCTTAAAGCCGTAAATCAGAGCAATTGAGCAAGGTATTAAACTTTAAATTATTAATAAATTTGTTATTTACTATTTATTTTTATTATTTATTATATTAGTCATTTGCGTTATTGAATTGAACTTTTGTTGATGCAATTTGGTTGTTCATCGTTGCGTTTGGAAGTGTTGGTTATTGTTTGATACTTTGATTTGTTTCAGATTTAATTGCTATTTGATTGTGTTAATTTCTTCTATTGAATTGCTGAATTTCTATGAACGTGTTCAATTGATGATTTTTTTTGCTAATTCTTAGCTTAATCTTTTCAATTTTTTCCTACTAAAATTTCCAGTAATCTTCTTAAATTAGTATTTTTGTTATGATAAAAAAGATAAGAGTCCATCTTGACAAAGCTAGTTAGCTTTGATGAATGACAATGACTAATTTTGAATGCTAATGGACTTATCTTTAACAATTTTTTTAACTGGAAATGATGATAAACCATCGTATATAATTTTTTCATCTTAAATTACTACGAAAATCCTGTATCCGCCACTGCACTTATACTACGTGGAACTACTTAGCCACCGTATCACCCTAAAAGCTGCAATGTTGACAACAGTCACGGTCGATGTTGACAATATAAACATCCTAAGTTTATCAAATATATAAATGGGGCCATGGGGGTGCCCTCTTTTCTCTCTCCTGTAAAACAGAACAAAATCCAGAAGGAACTGAAGATTTCGACAGATTTAATTTTGGAGGTATGAAATTGTTTTGATTTTTTAAAACATATTGGCTCGAATTTGTGTGCTTGTACATTTCATTTGGGGATTTTGCTTGCTTATTTGTTAAATTTATGTGGATACAAGAAGAACCCAAGATAAAAGATTGGAACTTGATGATAAAATTATTACTGAATTTGGAGGATTTTGAAATGGGTATTTTTATTTTGTAAATTTGATTGTTGAACTCTAAACTTTTGTGTTTGGGAGGTTTATTAGACATGAATGACTGGAATTTTAGTTTAGATAATTGTATTTATTTATTTAATTACATGTATTTGTTTATGTTTATCTGTATTAGTGGAGACTATGAGGTTTTGATAGAATGTGCTAGCTGATGATCCAATTTTACTGGATTTACTAGGGTTTATGAATTTGGATATAGCACAATAATGACAAAAAATCCAGTGGAGGCTTTCCACCTCTTGGACCAATTACAGTGTATTTTGGATCGCGATCCTCTTATGTAAGTTTCTGTATTTGCAATTTGCTGTTCTACAGTTCTTTTAATTGTGTTTGAACCTTTTGATTTATTGAATTATGTTCTTTTGGACGCTTGGCATACATCATCTTAATTTGGTGAGTAATTAACTTTGCTATTGCTTGTGAATTATTAAAGATGACAGTCTTAGTTGGATCTCGCTAAAATAACATTAACCTGAGAATGTAACCCTATGAGATTGCTTGATCATTGCTAGAATAAATTGCTGATAGTTTTGAGCAATGTCGAATGCATTCCCCGGTTCAGGTGATGATATTCATCATGAGGGCTTTTCCCTTAGGACATATACTCAGTAGGAATCTAGGATACCGATATTTCTTGTTCCACAAACCACAAGGTTCTCACAAATCACCATCAAGGGTAGCCCCCTTCCATCTAATCATAAGGCTTAACTAACTTTCTCATCATCCATGTACTTGGATTTTTGTTCATTTTACCCAGATCATGAATTAAATAAAGTTATTGATATTACTCGTACCTCCAAAATAGTGATTGTTTATGTCATGTGTGTATCATATATAAAACTGGAGGATTAAATACTTATTCATAAATTAAAAAACCTAGAGGAATTAATGGTGCCCAAAAGCGTGCGTCAACTGCAATTGGATTGAATTGCACTTCAGCTAATTGCCTTGCCCCAGAGCCATTAAGTCAATCTTGTGCACCTCGAGCCTCAGTGCCTTTAAGTGTAACTTTTCTTGTATTGCTGTACATAGTGATTGTTATGAGGATGTCTCTCCCTATTAAAAATAATTGGTTTCATCCACTATTATCTCTCTCTGCTATATACTACAATCATATTTTCCCACTGTTTGTTCCCTATTATCATTCCCTTTTAAATGAGCTTGGTTCATTTACAGCGATGAGTTGGGATTTATTCATCCATCCCAGCTAATGATGCTCAATGAAGGGGAAGATGAAGCCATTCTTACTTCTAAGGATTACAAAGGAGATGCAAAACTGGGTTCTGAACCTTTAGATGCTAGTGAAGTGGAGGGAAAAAATGATTTCTTCTGGAGTAGAGAGCACAAGTTGGGAATATCCACTGAGCATCTTCTTCCGTTGTATAAAGCAGCAAAGCAGAGGTTCATGGATGCACATGCAAATTATAAAAAGCATTCCAGTTGTTCTTTGAAGAATGAGGATGTGCCTAGTAGTTGCATCTTATCTGAGATTGAGGATGCAGTCATGAAGCACAGCAAGGTTCTTTTGTTGTTGAGTAGTGACTTTGGGACTGCATGGAATGCAAGGTTAAGTTTGCTTGTCTTTTGCTGGATGCAATTTGCTGATATAATTATTATATTTGGTATTTAACCTAAACTGAAGGTTTAATACTTTTAATGAAACAGCTTCCATGTCTAAATCTACTCTAGATTCTTTTCTAGGGATTATTTGCATTGTTGTCTGGCCTTCACGCTGGCAAGTTATTGTGTATTTTTTATTTAAATTTTTTTTTTAAAAGCTCCAATAACTTCTTTTTTTTTTTTACTGGTTTAATTTGTTAAAAGTATATGTTGTTAGTTTTAAAATGCAAATGCTATTTATTTGGACTAAAAGTTACTGGCTCATCAATACAGGAAGCTCATTATATCAAAGACAGAAGAATTCTCAATATCAGACGAACTTCTCGTATCCTCTTTGGTTCTTTCTCTTGCTCCTAAATCTGAAAGTGCTTGGAACTATAGGTATTATGCTTCTCATCGATGTCCTAGTTTCTCTTTCTAATATGTCATATCATCTCAGTTGAGACGAGTACAATAATTTACATTACTGGGTGTCTGATTGTCTCCATGTGAGAACCTTCTATACTCTGAGCCTTTGAGGGATTATGTTTTACGAAAATTAATACTAAAATCCTAGGCTTTGTTCTCCAGCTAAAAATGGAGTTATATTGAATACTTAGATCTAAGGGGGTGTTTGGTTCAAGCATGTAAGGTATGAGGTATGGATTTAGAATGAGTGAAACCCATACCTATTGTTTGTTTTTATAAAATTCAATTTTGAAACCCATACCTCAAACCCCCAAGGTATGGGGTTTTGAAACACAAGGGGGGAGGTGGGTATGAGCCATACCCATACCTTTAGCTTCAAATTAAAAGAAAAACATATCATTCCCAACTCAAAACTAAACAAATGGAATCAAGTATCAATTTCCAAACCCATACCACCCTAGTTTCATTCCTAATTCCAAACCCATACCATTATTTGAATCAAACGCACCCTAAGTGTGATGGCTCAAATATTATCCTTGTCTTCCTTTTCTCCCTTCTTAGAGCCTTTCCTCCTGCAAACTTTAAGCTATGAAGGCTCCTTATCAGGCAACCTGCAATTGTTGGACATTTGACATGCTCACATGCAATAAGTGGTGGCCTTTTCACTAGGGATGGCAATTCTAAATGGATATCCGCAAATCCGATCCACTCGAAAAAAATAAATGGACGAAAATCCGCATTAAATGGATGAAGGGCGGGTGACGGATCGGGTCGGATTCGGGTGGGGCTCCGTTTCATCCGTCACCCGATCCGTCATCCGTTTATCACCCGATCCGCGGTCCATCCGTATATATATAAAAAAAATTTCCAATTGTCTTATATACTAGTATACTACACTATGTATGTACTTTATATTTCCAAAAAAATAAATCTTTCTAAAAATTCTTTAATTTTATTTTAAAAAATATAAAACCTCCCTCAATTCCCAATTATGTAGTACCGAAATAAGTTCATGATTCCGTTCCAAAAAAAAAAGTAAGTTCATGATTATTATTTTATTATTATTATTATTGCTATAGTTTGGAATAAAAATTTAATCAATGGTTTACTTTTTAAGTTTAAAATTGGCTAACATTTTTTTTTTTTTAATAATAACGTATTAGATTTTATAATTAGAGTAGGATTATAATTATCACCCGCTAAGCATCCGATCCACCCGTTTCATCCGCGGATGACGGATGGATCGGATGCGGGTGATGGGTTTTGTGGGTGACGGGTGGATCGGGTGGAGCGGATGTTTAATTCAGGTGGAGCTTCATTCGACCCGAATCCGATCCGTTGCCATTCTTACTTTTCACACCGCTCCCTCTTTTTTCCCTTTTTGTATCTTGCATGTTATCTTACTTTAAGCTATCAATTCGGGTAAACAGGTCGGGTAAGAGTGGGTCGGGTGAACTCGGGTCGGGTCAATTCGGATTAATTCCATAACCTATGCGGGTCGGGTTTGGGATGGGTCATGCTTTAGTTGGGTCACGTCAGGTCATACTTCTTATCGGGTTTGGGTCGGGTTAATAACACGTCGGGTTACATTCGGGTTCGGTGAACAATAGGTCGGGTTTAATTTGGGTTTTCACGGGTTAGGGACCATGGTAAACATTTCGGTTATTGAAGGCTAATATCCACGCTTTTTGAGAAATTTTAGAGAGTTCGGGGCCGGTGTCTAAAGGTCTAGAAATTCTAGGGAATACATCTCGTGCTCATATTATGTCGTTTGGACCCATATATGATCATTATTTCTTGTTATAAATATTCGTGGTGGGCTTGAGTTAATGAAATCGGTGCAAGTTGTAAACCAGTAAATTGGTGGTTTAAAGGAAAATTTGGATGGTTCGACCCACCCAATTGGACTCCCGGGGGGAGTATTAGGGACCATAGTAAACATTTCCTTGTTTTTTTTTTTTTTT